AATTTTAAAAAAAAAAAAAAAAAAAAAAAAAAAGAAGGTTGAATCCCAACCTTGAGGGCCCTCACCGTCCCGCCCCTAGAAATTTGTGAGAGAAGTAAATCGCAGGATGTGCCGCAACAGGCCAGAAAACAAGAGCTGTCTGTATACTGCGCTTACAAGGAATCCAATTCCATGTTTTAGGAGTCGAACCCCCCACACTATTATATGTGCATTCTTCTTAATATTTCTTTTTAGGGTTAATTATATGAATGGTCACTGAATTTTGCCCTATGTTACTACTTAGTCACTGAACTTAAAAATGTAACTCAATAATCACCATATTTCGTCAAGTGTTACTATTTCATAACCGAAGTTTAAAATGTATCTCAATGGTCATCGAACTTTGCACCATGTTACCCATCCATCACTCAAATGAAAAAATCTGTTAAGTCCAACGAACGACCTCAACTCAATTATGAAGTAGTAACACGGTGCAAAGTTCAGTGAATATTGAGATACATTTTAAAGTTCGATTATGAAGTAGTAACACTCGAAGTTCGATGACCATTGAGTTACATTTTTAAATTCAGTTATTAAGTAGTAAAATAGTTGAAAAATCAAATCGACCTCAATTACATTGACACTATTCGAACATTTTGTACTTTTATTTAATTTTTCTTTGTTAATTTCTTTTAGTGTTCTAATTGTTTCTCTTTCAATCTATTTATGCGAAGTTTGAGATACGGTGAACCGATACTAGTTAATCTAAAAATCAAACGTACTTTTTCACCATGATGGATGATATTTTTATTTAATTTATAGGTTTCTGATTTTCTGTTTCCTCTTTTTTCCCTTCATTTTCTTTGATTTTTTCTTTCATAGAGGTCGTTTTGAGAAGTTTAGCCCTTATTTGATTCCCATTTTGAGGGATAAAATAAATTTTTGAATATTATATTGATGGAAAGTGTGTAGTTAAAAAATAAGGAAAAATTTTGGATTTACGTGTAATATTATATTATTGAAGAATGTGTGGTTGAATGATGTCAAATCACTGTTTAAAAATGAATTTTTTTTTTATTTTTGGAAAGAATGAGACTCAAACAAGGGCTTAATAATTCAATTTAAAAATATATCTTAATGATCATTGAAATTTGCCCTATGTTACTACTTAGTCACTGAACTTAAAAATATAACTCAATGATCACTGAATTTCGCCAAATGTTATTACTTTATAACCGAACTTTAAAATGTATCTTAATGGTCATTGAACTTTGCACCGTGTTACCCATCCGTCGCTTAAGTTGACGCTGTTTGTTGGACTTAACGGATTTTTCCATTTGAGTGACGGATATGTAATACGGTGCAAAGTTCGATGACCATTGAGATACATTTTAAAGTTGGGTTATGAATTAGTAACACTTGGCCAAATTCAGTAATCATTGAGTTACATTTTAAAGTTCAGTGACTAGGTAGTAACATATGACACAGTTACCATTCATATAATTAACCATTTCTTTTTACACTCTTGCATATGGCGAGATCTATAGGAAAATTTTACATCAATTCCCCTTGTTTTTATTTATCTGCAGGATTTTTTGTTGTTCAAAAGAATATTAGTAAATAAGAAAAATAAAGAATATAACGCACAAATTAAACGGACTATCAAAACTTTTCACTATATGAAAAATTATTACAATTATATAGAATTTCACCAACCAATCCAATTCCAAAGTATTACAAAGAAAAAAAATAAATCCGAACATTACCACACCTACTTTTCTACCATTTGTACGAAAAGTCTCAAAATGCTAGACTCACAATATTTTCTCTCAAATCAACTCCTTGGCCACACCCAAAATAATGAAATACGTCCACTATTTATAGGATCAATGACCAAGTAGAAGAGTTTAATTTAAACTCAAACAAGACTCATTTAACTTAACAAAGATTCCTTCATGTGCAAGATTCCAAAACTGGCTGTAACTTGAAGACCAAATTCTGCAAGGATTGTGCTATCAACTTTAATTAGAAGTCTTCCATACAGCAACTAACTTTTTATTATTTGCAATAGAAGTCTTCCATCTTTTGACTTTAAAGACAATTACCACTACAACAGAAGGAACTTTTTACGGCATCCATTTACGACATGCATTTATGGCATGCCATAAAAATAGGTTAATTACGGCGTGCACAAAAAGTAAGACATTAAAAATCATTATGTAAAATTATTTACGGCGTGCAAATGATGCACGCCGTATTAAGCTAATATTTACGGCGTGCATAGCTTAATACGGCGTGCATGGGCTTTGACAAAAATTAAAAGTATTTACGCCGTAGTAAGCGTCCTCAAAATCCCAATTAAAACGCCGCATTTTTCTCCCATTCGTAATATCTCCTCCTTCTCAAAAACCCAACAGATTCACTGCGCCTCCTGCCCTCGTCTTCTTCTTCCTGTGCTGCCACCAGTCCACCACAGCCACCATCCTTGACTTCGCCCGGTGCCTCAGCTCTCACCCTCTGCCTTCCACCGTCGACCACGGGCACTAGCTCTCGCTCTTATCGTTGCCTCCCAGGACCTAAATCGAATTATTTCTATAAGGATTCTTCAAATTTATACCCACCCGTCTTTATAGGGGTCTAGTTTCTACAAGGAATTGTATGATTTAAACTATTGAATGAGTTAGCATGAATCAGATTAATACCTAACATCAGATTATTGTTTGGCTATTTCCTGATTCGTTACGTCCTTGGACTTGATAATGAAATTAATTTTCATATTGGCTGTGTTGTTTGATTTTTGAATGAATTAAATTCATTGGCTGTATATATTGAATAGGGTGAACTTGTAGAGTGGACATTTGCTGAAGATACCTTTAAAATTCCACCATTATATTGATTTCATTGCATACATGATGTGGAGCTTATAAGTTCAATTAATGATATGCCGCATTATTTGATAATTTTGTCCTTTCATTTATTTGGATATCTTCATATTTATACATCTTTG